TAGAATTGGTGAGTTTGATAGCGATAGTGAAGAATACATCATTTATATGTAGCAATTTCAAACAATATGTATTTATAAAACCATTCATTTGTTTCTGGAAGCTTTTATGTCATATACCGTACACGCAATTATGCATTGTCGGATATGTTTGAAACATGACCAGAAAACTGATGACGCGATCCTACAATGGATTGCATATCACATAACATCTATTCACTGGTGTCATGTGACACCAGTAGAGCCATAGAACGTAATAATAGATGGTCCCTTAAACCTTTGAGAACACTGGCTCTGCAACTTGACAGTGAATATCAATCCACCAAACCACTAATCATATATTACAACCTTACTACTGGAGARTCAAGAATTTAGTGACCTACATACAAGAGCCAAGTCTGTAAAGTAAAACACCAAAATTGTACATCTTCCATGTACTGCTGAGCCAGTGAGCTACTAAGGGCATGAGGCACTGGACAGTAAATGTAACCTTTAATATTTTATTTGTCATTCTAAAAAGAAATCCACCATATYGCCTACAATCCACAGCCAAACACAATTTTTGCATTCTTTAGCTGCTCCGGAGAGAGGAAGATTGAGTCCAGTTTTTTGACATGAGCGTCTAGATCTGGGAACTGGGGGAACTGGGCAACCATGGCCTATACCAGACAATAAACTTTGTGTATTGTGTTGTGTTGTTCTTAACTTCTTATTAATCTGTTCCTATAGCAACACCAGCAACATTTGAAACACCYAGCACCATCCATGGCTCACCACACAATGAAAGAGAACAACAACCTTCAAATACAGCATCAACCAGTGAACAAACTAGCCAAGAAACAAAACAAGAACCYTCAGATACAACACTTGATAAGTTTCTAGCTAAACACACAAGTGAAGACAATGAGTCCTTTGAACAAATAATGGAACAAGCCCGRCTTAAGCAGAGACAAAAATATAGTTGGCTTTATAAAAAAGAAGAGGAACAGTTAGAAAATAGTGAAAAACGTCTTGCATTATGTGAAAATAAGGATGGTGATCAGTTGATGCTGGAAGATCGTCCTGCAATGATTGACACTTGGAAGTACAAAAACAAAAATGCTTTAATGTARTGTCCTGAAGGCATGGAATACTCAGTCAAAGAGAAAATAGAAAATCAAAAATCGAAACCACAAGAAGTACAACATGTTAATACACGGTTTACTAAAAAKCCCTTTCCTGATGAATCTTGTAGTGGTTCATTAGTGTCGGCTGCTGCTGCTAAGCAAGCCAATCATCAGGGAAAAGTGGGTGTTGATGGACTTGAACAGAATCCTAATGAAAGTCCTCGTGTAAATGGCTTTGGGTTTGTGGCTGCTACACCTTCATTGGAACCAGGTAAGTAGTAAATTAAAGCTTTTCGACCAACAAGAAGAAATCCTATGGTATTTTTCTCCATGGAACTTACAACAAAAGTGCATGCTCAATGTTCAGGGACCGTGGAGCAGGAATTTGTTGGGGCTAGTGGGCAGCAAATTTTGAAATCTTATCTCTCGGAAATGTCATTTCCAGTGTTTTGAGGCATTATCCAAGACATATTTCTGAAAAAAAAGACACATTTCTGACTGCTAAAATCACACACATGGTCACAGGATATTAATAAAATCCCAAAGACTTCACAWGCTTCACTTCACGCTCAGTTTTTACACAATCTCTATAGAATACACATGGTGAAATTTCATAAGGAGCCTCTTCACTTCTTTATTTAATGGCGGGGGCTATAGCCCCAGTCCCTGATGTCTTACTTTAATATTTCTATAATCTCATTTTTTCCAGCAAGAACTTGTAAGGGTTTAGACTCATCTTATTACAATATGGTTTTTATTTTCAGGAGTTGATGCATCACCTCTTATGACTTGGGGATCCATTGATGGAACACCATTTAGACTAGATGCTAGTGACACACCAAGACCAAATACCCCAGGACAGGTGTTCAAGATGCCTGAACCAAAGAAAAGGGAACAAATAGGACTTGCACTTGCAGAGAAAGTCAGTAGGAAACACAGAGAAAAGACCAGACAAGCAAGAGCTCAAGCAGCAGCAATGATTGGGAAGTAAGAATGCTTTTTGTACAATTTTAATTTTTTGGACATTAATGCTTCAATAGGGTACTGTAGATGATTGACGATTGTGGGATAGAATGTTGTGGCTGGAGAAGGGTGGCAGAAATTTGTAGCTTGCATCCTTGAAAATAGGAAAAATTTATTTAAACCATGAACTAATAATAAATATACTACCAAATAAGACATGACAACTTGTAAAAATGTGACCACT